GGTACGCACGAATAGGATTCACTAATTATCCCTAGTTCTCCTTAGTATTGCCGTACTTCGTTATGTCTTTCAAATTGATTTCTTTTTCAAAAAAATAACTCTTGCAAATTGATGGGGTATAAAAAAGTTCATGCTGCAAACATGACGACTTGGTGTGGCCACACCAGAAAAGGTCTCACAAAGAAAGAAAAGGCGTGGTAAGCCACGATCAATCATGAGATACGTGCTTCGGTCGATCCAGGAATCAGGATTGCTAACATGCCCATGGGTACAAATGGTGTCCGTCGGAGGAGGACTCAATCAAGGTGAATGCACACGGTGCTATGTCAAAAGCTCGGGATAATGATACTGGAGGAGCAGTCTTGAGGGACCATCATGGAGGGTTCCAGGCAGGGATGTTCCATTTGTTTTCCCCATTGTCGATCCAGAGCTTGCTAAGTTACTGGCAGGCAGACGTGGTATTCAATTGGCGACCGAAATTGGGGCCAGAAGTTGACTCTCGAAATCGACTCTCAGGCGGTTGTCCACAAGACCAACGCTACGAGGAGGGGCATCTCGGCTTTATGGCCATACTTCTCAAATATTTTGAAGAGTCCAGGCTTAAGTGGGTGCGGCGACCGGCGGATAAAGTTGCAGATATTTTAGCTAGAGAAGGCTGCTTGAATAAGCTCCGTAAGACTTGGTTCCATGTACCGCTGAAATGCGTTAGCCCAGCGATGTCCTCGTGTCACCTTAATTGCAACAATAACCAAAAATACATGAACATGGGTCACCAAATTTTCACTTAGTGGATGGCGTGCAAGGTGGTGCATGATGAACTCATGAACACAACTATTTTCTTCCCCGATGAAAGATGTGCTCCTACTACTATTAGTCCCGGCACGTACCCTAAACCGTTCAGTAATACTAAGTGGACTAAGTAGATCTGACGATGGGATTAACAAGTAAACAACGTCTCCAAACGGCAAAGGGGTTGACGAGGGAGCACATCAAACTCGAAGGGAGTGCAACTTTCACACACACACACACACACACACACACATATATACATATATATATACACACACACACACACGTCACTGTCCAACGATTGCAAAGTCAAATCATTAATAATGAAGATAGGGATTGCCGAAAGAGAAACATGTTATCTTTACCGACAAGACGATTATGTGTTATGTCCAAAATTAACCTTTGATAACAATCAACTATATGTAGGTTACCACTTATCTTACACGGTTTAAAAGAAAGAAAACTGATATCGTATCAGTAGATACTCATCTATTTGTTGTGATTTTTATAACTATCAATTAACGGCATATCACTCACCACCAAAGCCTTGAACTCCGAAAAATCAAATTCACTTCATATGTATGAATTGACTCATTGAGTATGTTTTCCACACTTTCTCAAGGCAATCAACCGAGGGCCATTGCCTACCTGAAAATTTTCGTTAACCAATGCCGAAGACATCTACATGAGCTTCAAAACAATAGTATCCATGTATTCTAAAAAGACAAATATTTAGGAACGGATGGTGTATTTGAAATCACAAAAGAAACAGCTTGATTTCTCTCCAAACTGTCACGGAAAGGGCACAGCTGATCACAGTGCTCCATAGAGTTCGTGCAAAGTCAAACCAACTTTGCACAAATATATGGAGGATCCACAAACGTGGACAGATTACTCGAGCTCATCCCAGTTGACTGTCCAGCAGGCAGGCTGAAGCTGGCGCGTGGCACCGACCACGCGAAGTCAAATTAAAACCATAAGCTAGCAGGCAAA